TCCATTTTCATATACTGTAGATGAATTTGGATTTGGTGAGAGCATCTCAATGGTATTTTTACTATGCATAATTAAACAAATTGAGAAGTATTCATCTATTTTCATCGTTCCCATTGCCTATCATTGAAAATATAAAACATGTTGGAAAAAGTTCCGTCTGTTACAGCACCACCTGGCAGCACTACAGTGGAGCCTGATTTTGACCCTTACTCTTTACATGTAATGGTGTTGCCTCCCCTTAAGCAAAATCTAAAATGACACCCCTGCCATCATTGTTGTTGTTCATAACTTTTGTTACATGGACATGTTTTGATGTGGTGGATGAGGTAGAAAAATTTAAGAAACTGTTTTGATTGTTGATATTATGTCTAAAGGTGCAAAGTTGGTGTCAGATAACTAAGGAGTTTCACACACCAAATCTTCAGGTCTTGATGCAGGAGACCTTAATCATTGGATAGTTTATTGTCCATTCCTGAAAATTGTTTCTTTTAATCTGTTGCCTGCAAGCTTATATATGGTTCATCCTGCCTTTTTCTGTGATTACTGGTGCCTCACTGCACAGTACAGTCGACCCTCGTTAATTCGGACAAATAGGGGGGGGGGGGTGTCCGTTTTAGCCGATTGTCCGAATTAACCGATTTAGGGGTTAATATCGCATTATATTTCAAAGTCATTGTTTTCGTCACGATTTTATCCCACTTTCCACTGTAATACGTACGTAATTTCAGCAAAAATATTACATTTCCGTGAATGTATTATATCAAGCACAGTATGAATAGAATATCATTGTAATTTAACAGTATTTTAACCGAAAACTAATAAAAAAACGAATAACATCTCAAAAACATCGAAAGCTTAGGTAAAGTCTTTCGCTTTCGTCATGTATTTTATCCTATTTTACATTGAAATACATCACGTTTCAGCAAAACTACTATTTATTTCCGAGAATATATTCATTCAGGCGCAGTTTAGGTAAAATATACGTGTGGTGTAACAGTTTTTTAACTGAAAACGATTCGAAAAACACGTACCCTCTAGCCCTGTTCAAGGAGAGGACTGGGAGAAGCTGTTTGATGCTGCAGACGATGACAAGGAAAATGATTTGGATGGATTTTAATGAAAATATTCTGAAATATGGTATCGTAGTATTTATTCAAGTCAATTAGGATAGAATATTATTGTAATACAACGGTTTTTTAACTGAAAACCAATCGAAAAGCGATTACGGTAACATCTTTTGAACGAACGAAAGCGAAAGTCATTGTTTTCGTCACGATTTTATCCCACTTTCCACTGTAATACGTACGTCATTTCAGCAAATATATTACATTTCCGTGAATGCATTATATCAAGCACAGTGAATAGAAAGCCATTGTAATATAACAGTATTTTAACCAAAAACTATTAAAAAAAACGAGTAACTTCTCTTGAACATCAGAAGGTTAGGTAAAATCTTTTGTTTTCGTCATATGTTTTATCCTATTTTACATTAAAATACATCACTTTTCAGCAAAACTACTATTTATTTCCGAGAATATATTCATTCAGGCGCAGTTAAGGTAAAATATACATGTGATGTAACAGTTTTTTAACTGAAAACGATTCGAAAAACACGTGTACCGTCTAGCTGATACAACAGCTGGTGGTGCGTCATGCGTCGTTGTAAACAATAGGAGGTTGAAGTAGATTACCGGGTATTATATTAAGTGTGAAATATCGAAAAGGTTTTTATTACCGGTATTTTTTGTAGATCAATGAGAACTGTGATACCGTATATGATATGATAAGTTAGCCTGTGCTAAGAACTTCAACATAGACTACTGAAAACACGTTGTAAGGTAATTTAGCCTATTGTAAGTTGGTGAGCTTCATTTGCTGAAGGAACTGCACAACTTTTCATTACTAATTGGTACATATTTTACGTTTCCATTGTTTACTGGCAGTAAATGGTAAATATTTTTCATGTCTGAAGCTAAAAGTTGCATCCCCCCCCCCACACTAGTGGTGGAGATGTTACATTTAACCAAAAAGACGCTGGTGTTTTATCCCAGCAGTGGGTGGACCAGCATTTTAGCTTAAGGTCCGCATAGGTAATATTCCTGAAAATCTAAAAAAAAAAAAAAAAAAAAAAAAAAAAAAAAAAAAAAAAAAAAAAAAAAAAAGGTTCGTTCAGATTTTGTCCGAAATTCGGATTAAAGGGGTCCGAATTAACGAGGGTCGACTGTATATGGTTTCTCGGTCTTAAATAGTCTGCTTTGAAAATGTGCCACACAGGGTCACAATTAGGCTGCAGAGAATGGGTTAAACTCAATTGTCAATATTTTGCACTATATGGTGGGCTGCCTTGAGGAAGTTAACTAGGACACAATGTGAGTATGTTTGGAAGTATTACAGGAATACTCTTGAAAGGTTAATCTTGACTTGTTTCAACCAAAGTAGTCATGGATTCTCTTAATTGGAACATTATAGGTCAAAGTTTGTCTGCTAACATATTTGCATTCAAGTTTACGTCACCCAATAGAGTTTCTCTGATGAATACAGTAGTATTAGAGATTACTATTAGACTTTGTGGACATATTGTTCCTTAAGGGACCCCTTTAATAAATCCTGTCTACATGCTTATTATACATAGGTCACCTCTCTTATATCGGGCAGAAATCAGGATTTCAGAATCATTCTCTCATATTTGATCAGATTGATATGCCAGTAGTAGTACAGTATGGTGATCATATTTAGCTTGTCTGTTTTCCAGGAAAATGAAAGATTTTTGTCACTTCCAGCCACAAGTTTAACCTCTCATAACTTTCCTCAGAGCACCTACTTTGCTACTACCTTTCTTGGTTATCATCATTACCTTCATATGCACTATATATAATTTACTCTTTAAGCACTTAAGATTTTCTCCTAGCTTTAACCTCCAATTTAACCTTTTCTTTTATGCTCTTCCCAATATCTGTAATACAGTACTGTATGTCTTCAAAGTTCTGCTGCTGTTGTATTCATTAACATGTGATCTGTATGTACCAGTACTGTATATTGTCTTGTATTTCTGTCTCTTTTCCAACCTTTATTTTCTAATATTACCAGCACAGAGCCACTTTATAATTTCATCTACTACTAAGATTATAACCAAGAAGATACTACACATCCCTCCCCACTTTTCTATCGAGCTTCATTTTTTAACTGCCCCTGTCTTGATTTTTCCCATCTGTTTTCAGAGTTAAAAAGTGATCCATACTGCCATGCCCTTCTATAATCCAACTGGCTCATTTCTATATTTAACAATTGTTATCTTTTTAATAAATTCTTTGTTACATATTTTATATACATGTTATCTTCTATGCTCAAGAAAATATTCCCTGATACTTTTGAATTAAATAAGTATTCATATTTTTTTTTTTTTTAGTCTTGAGATTATGCTTCCCCTTTCTGTTATTTTGAATTACAAAATTCACATAGTATTTATGTAAATTCTGATAAGTCTGTGACAAGATGATATGGGAAAAAATAGGAAATTTAAAACATCATGTATGAACTTTTGAGTTCATTGTGCATTTTGTGTGTTTGATACAGGAACTTAGAACTCTTTCTTTCTTTCTGGTAACTTCTGAAACCTGTTAATATATTGTTGATTAAGTAATTATTTTGCTTTCTCACCCTTATTAGGGGCTGTCAAAGTTTCATATCAAAATGATAAAAACTGAAATTTATGTTTGCCTTGATGTAATTTCACTGCTAGCTATAAATAGCCTAGAAGTAATATTTTTATCATAGGTAATGATTATATTTTAAACTGATTTCACCTATGATATTATATCATATGGCATACATGTTATACAAATTTACCATCAGTACATGTTCAAGTTCAATTTACTGTACAGTATAGTAATTTGTGTTTGTTACTCGTCTGATGATCATGGTTCGAGAGTTGTGAATATACTGCTTCTTGTACCCATATAGTTGCTACTCAGGGTTTTTGTCTCTCAAACTCATATTTCTCATTGTAATAAAGATTTCCTCATCTCTTAATAATAGAGGCTGTGAGAATCTTGCAGAAAGTTACAGTATAGGCAGGAATAAAGCCAAGTCACGCACTGTATAAGTTTTCTTTTCTTTTTTCTTCAGGAAATATATGGTCTTGTAGTCACATTTGTTTTTACCAGGTATGACAATGACAGTAGTGGCTTTAAATTTTATTTTATTTAAATATGGAATCGGGTATGTGTCACTTACCATGTTGTGTCTTTATAATATGGCATTCAAGAAAGAGTGACAGACAGGGAAGATTGTCGGATGCCCAATGCATATTTTGTTGACCTTGACAAAATAAGTGCAAATAAATGGTGCTTCAGTATTTGCCTGATTCACCATCCATCTATGTAGTTATTTAGAAATCTTGTGATTTTCAGTTTTACAGCTTATTTACAGTATTGACATATCCTGTTCCCAGGAAACTGATTAATATTTCTTTGTTATATATGTCATAATGAAATAGTTTTCAGATGGTCTTGTATGGTATTGTATATATCACTTGTCTAATAAAAAAATTGCTCAGGCATGTGTGAAAGGTATAAAAAGACAGTATTTTGATTCATCACCAAATCTTGCTACTTGATACTGTAACTGTTGATAAATAGGCTTTTTGAAGAACTTGTAATATCACAGTTTGTTTCTATGTATGATTCAGTAGAAAATAAAATGCGATGAAACTTTCATGAATTTCATACCTTATTCTTGAATTAAAGTGTGTGCATGATACTGTTTTTTGCTTGTTAGTGTTTTATCCTAGTTTACATCTCCAATAGAAGTTTTACTAGTGTTTTGTCATTCATAGTTTCCTAGTTTTATTCAATATTTTAGAAATATTGTAGATATAATTTGCCTGCATGTTTTCTTCACATTGTTTTTGTTTATATTTTAATTAATTTTTTATTAATAGTTTTATGACTTTTTTGCATGATTTTAGTTTTACAAGCATGGATGTTTTGTTTTCATTCTAGATCCGCAGTACCTTAAACGAAAAATGGCTAAACTTGGCAACAATGCAAATACAGAGAAGATTGGTAGATTCATTGCTGAAAACATGGGAGCTGCAGGTATGTATTTTCTATGTTTTAGTATAAAAGTAGACTTTTAGTAGAAGCTTGAGTTTGCAAAATATGTAATTATCATTATTTCAGTGTGCAGTTTAGAGGAAATTGTGTTATCTATAATAGAAGGAAGCAGCCAGTGATGAAGGTTTCAAGACCAGTCTCATTCTCATTCTCATTCTCGGGTGCTTAGATCTTGGTCTCATCTCAATCTCCACCATCTCTGGTCTCATATTTTTGCCTGAGAACTTTTGAGACCACAAATTTATGTGCAATATTAATTTTCAGTTCTGTGTGGAGGAATTTGTCATCAGGTTAAGTTAGGTCACTACCTAGACAGCTAATCAACCATAAGTGAGGATTTCCTGGGTCATGGTCAGTCTTGTTAGGCAAGGTGACCTATGTAACAAATGTTACTTATATTAATTTTTGGCAGAAAAACAAGGCCAAGTTTCCATTACTGGTCATTCTGGTACTGACCATTCTGACTGTGCCTGGCTCTATTGCTGCGGTCAAACATGTAAATCAATCAAAGGTGCATTCCTCGTGTCTGAGGGTTGGTGACCACAGTCCTCTAGTCTAAACTTATTTGGGCTGTGTTTTACTAATCCTCCAAGATCTTACATCTCTCTGGGGACCTATTATTAACCCCCACACATACATGACTTCTGTCAGTTACAAAATGGTTTGTCAAATTTGATCAATGACTCCAAAATGTGCCATGAAATGAAATTTTTTGCTACAATTTAAATTTTTTGAAATCACTGAGAAGGTGTCCTCTGAAGTATGGGAAAACCTCTATACACGAGTTTCTCTGGGGTGCTCCAGACTGCCCCTACATTCATCAGAAATGTTTTAAAAATTTCGGAAAATCCAGCATCATTCCAGATGGTTTGTGTTCAAACATGCGGGTTGAATATCTATGCGTGGGTGTGGCATGGCACACGTCTCGGTCTAAGTCCTGCCATCATTTGTACTGTGTCAGTGTGCTGCACTCATGTGAATTTTTTATATAGAGTACATATTGTTTTTAATAGGAATACAGTACATAAGAGTTGTAAGAAATAGGTAAAATTATGTAGAGTATGTATTTTAAGAAAGAGGGGAAATAAAAACAAATCTTATGAAAAGAACAAAAGAACAACACATGCTCACTGAATACTGTACAGGGGTTTGATCAGATTGGCTGTGGGCCTAAAGAGAGCTAAGATACTGCATATGTAAACAGGCTTGGGAGAGGGGTGATCGAGTATATTTATTTATTTAATATACAGTGAACCCTCGCTTTACGCGGTTTCACTTTACGTGTTTCTACATTTACGCGGTACCCTGCCAGAACCGGAATTCCCACTTTACGCGGTGCATCTACTCATATACGCGGTGAAGTAAAAAATTTTTATTTAGCTCATAAAATTCATACAAATTATCCGGCCAGAATATAATTTACATTGCTGGAATTCTTGCAATTTGATGATCATTTTGAATATAAGCATCATAGATTTTGCATTAGACATACAAATTTTAGATCTAATGCAAGTATTTTGTTTACTCAGAGCAAATATGTTATCTTGTGTGCAAAATATATGAAGTGTATATTCAAAATATTCCTGGTCTTGCAAGGAATCCAGCAATGTCAATTATATGATCCCAACTTTAGTCTGAGGTATTATTTATTACTAAAAATGTAAATATACTGTTATAACCCAATCATTTCTCTGGTAGGGAGGGAAGGTGGGGGTGAGGGACCCAGGGAGCAGGTGGGAAGAGGGAGGGAGGTGGGGTATTTTGATTGACAGATCGTATTTCGGTAAGTATATTTTGTTTATTTATTGAAGATATTTGTTTTAGCTCATAAAATTCATACAAATTACCGGGCCAGAATATAATTTACATTGCTGGAATTCTTACAATTTGATGATCATTTTGAATATAAACATCATAGATTTTGCATTAGACATACAAATTTTAGATCTACTTTAAGTATTTTGTTTACTCTGAGTAAATATGTTATCTTTTGTGCAAAATATATGACATTTATATTCAAAATATTCCTGGTCTTACAAGGAATGCAGCAAGGTCAATTATATTATCCTATCTTTAGTCTGAGGTATTATTTATTACTAAAAAGGTAAATATTCTGGTTTCTCCCAAACATTTCTCTGGTAGGGAGGGACCGACCGACCATCTGGCGAGGTTGGAAGAGGGGGGGGGAGGCAAGGTGGGGTACTTTGATTGACAGATAGTGTCTTGAAGAATATTTTTTTTTTTTTTATTAACTGAAGATATTTGTTTTAGCTCATAAAATTCATACAAATTACCCGGCCAGAATGAAATTTACATTGCTGGACTTCTTACAATTTGATGATCATTTTGAATATATACATCATAGATTTTGCATTAGCCATACAAATTTTAGATCTACTTTAAGTATTTTGTTTACTCTGAGTAAATATGTTATCTTTTGTGCAAAATATATGACATTTATATTCAAAATATTCCTGGTCTTACAAGGAATCCAGCAATGTCAATTATATTATCCTAACTTTAGTTTGAGGTATTATTTATTACTATACCTTAAAATCTAGTGGTTTCCCCCAAACATTTCTCAGAGAGGGAAGAGCCAGCGAGTGTGAGAAGAGGGGGAGGGATTTGAGTCCATTATTTGAATGGACATTAACTTGGCGACTGTATTTCTCTATTTCTCTTAAGTATTAATTGTGTGCATGTACCATCATAAAATCAAGATGTTATTTTTACTGGAACATAGGTATTGTGTCGGAAAAAGTGGAGTTTGGGGATCAGCCGGTCTCTATTTCATTTAATCCCATATGTTATGTTGTTCACTTTACGCGTTTCTCGCTTTACGCGGGCCTCCGTGGGTTCAATTGACCGCGTAAAGTTAGGGTTCACTGTACTGTATTATATTCTCGTATGATCAGCCTCTTATGGTGTGGGGTTAATAAACATCTTCAATAATTTGACATGAAAATAAAAGGATAAGCTGCATCGGAAGGTATTCATTCAGGATGCGTTTGTGTGAGAGCTTTCAGCAAATCAACAACTACTGTATAACATAATTTATAGTATGGAGTTACCAAGGCTGTATCTAGAAATTTTATTCAGAGGACCAAAGAGCGGCTTGAGACATTTACTCTTCAAGACATAAAAACAAATAATCATTTAATTATGTGCATTTTATTGTGGAATTCAAGGTGATTAATTTTTAGCAGAAAATAAACAGTATGTTTTGAACAAAAACAAATAATTTTGAAAATTAAATATCCTGTTATGCAAACATAATGAAATTATTCATGATACAGCTAACATCAATTATTTTCATGCTGAGTTTCCTATAATTACTAGCCAATTACTGTAGAGGACAAAATTTTTTCACCTTGGGCGTTATTTTATAAAATGCGAAATCACTGTGTTATGGTCAATTTCAAGTTCCCTTTGGACTGACAAAAGGGTCAATCCAGTTAACCTCTCCTTCCACATGAAGATCTCAAATCAGTGTTCAGCCTCTTTAAAGTTGAAAAAGGGTATTCTACTGATGCTGCTGTTACTGGTAAAGTCACAAGAATAAGATTCAGTTCTTTAAGGTTTGGTAATAAATATCCATTATATTCTAGGTACGTGTCTGGCATTTAAAGACAGTGATTTCTCAGGAAAATGTCTCCATTTTATTTCCATACAGGAAATTCAGCAGAGAATGTCTGAAGTTCTGGAAGTAAATCTTTATAGAAGTCAACACATTTCCTGAAATTCTCTACATCTTCAGCAGAAAGCTTGAGTGTATACTTTGGCATTGGTTTAAGTAGAAGGACAATAACTTCAGTGGAACCCCAGTGTACAGAACTGGCGACCATGTTGAAATTTAATTGAATATTTGATGTTTAAAGGATTCTAAAAGAATACCGTAGATAGCCTACTCATATAAGTGTGTCTCCATCAACCATAAGATACAACGTTGGCACCGCTCCTTAATAGGAGTTTATGTGGCCCACTTTCTGTGAGGTGCCGTGCCAATTAAAAAATAAAGAAATGGGAAACCCTGTGCACTAAAAAGTCATTATTCCTGAAAATATGCTTAAATTTCAGCCCCCGAGTCCTCATAACATCCCTCCTCCCTCCCAAAATATGGCCTTGGGAGTTACCCTCCTAACTCTTATTAATTACTTTTGAGTGATACATGATGGCTCGATTTGCCTACTTGTGCACTTAGACAGCTGATTAATGAATAGACCAAGGTATATACAGTTGCATAATACACTACAATATTATTTATTAAGTGCTGATAAATACTCTACGATATATTTTAAGTGCTTATAAGTGCAGTACAGTACTCCCACGCCAACCGCGAATTTTCCATCCGTGGATTTCAGGTATCCACATTTCTTACTTTACCATTTCACCAACTGCAACATTGAATTTTGAGTATCCATGGTTTGGCGTGGCATCATTTTCCCTCCAGGTTCTGGTGTATTCATCCATGCAGTGTCCAGCCTCCCACCATGCTCTCTCAGTGTTGTGATCTAGTTCCGTGCAGACATATTTTATTGCTCCATATACTGGATATTTATTACGTATTTTCTACAGTAATAACATTGATTTTGCCTTTAACTATGGCCTCTAAGTGTGCATTGAGTGTTACTGATAAAGGTGAGAAGAAAGTGAAGAGGGCAAGGATTGTAATGACTCAAGAAAAGAAAGTTGAAGTGCTCGTTAGACTAGCATGTGGCGAGAGCATAGCGTCAGTGGGACGTGCCATGGAGGTAAAAAAATCCTCGATTCGTACAGTGAAAAAAGTTAGGCTATGATGAGGGCTAGTGTTGCTGGTAATACATGGAAAAGTGCAAAAGAGAGTGGGTCTTTTCCTTACAACAACCACCACTCCCTCCACATCATCTTCATACACCATCGTCCTCATTGAAGGTAAATACAGTAAATACAGTATTTCCTTAAAACTTGTGAATTTGAAGCTTGCGTCCCTTGGAAACTCACAG